CGTTTTGCTTACAGCACGGTGTTGCCGAACGCCTGCGAGCAGGGCACCGTCTGCCGTTCCTGCTGGGGCAACTGGGAGCGGTGCTGACCCAGACTCCGAGGAGCTTTGCTGCGTGTACAGCCACATTTCTTGTCGCCCACAGCCATGGTGAAATCAGGCTGGTTAGGTAAGAGCTTGTTAAAACCTGAGGCACGCTGCAAAGATATTTGTGTGCTGTGTTTTAAGCTGCTTTGGGAACGTTGTCTCCCTGTGCCGGTGGGTTGATACTGCCCATTGTCAGGACTTGGGTGAGCTGAGCAAGGGTAGTTTTTGATGTGCCTGACCCCCCCAAATGTTCATACCTGAGTTTCTGTGTTGTGCCTGCTCCCACACGCAGGAACTCTGAAGCGGCTCCTGGCTGGGGGAAAGGAAGGGGCCTGGGCCTGTGCTTGTGTTGTGTTTCTCTTGAGACAAAGTTCAGACGATGGGTTCTCAAACTAAATTTTGTCACTTGGTCTGGAGCCAGCCCTGGGCTACAGCAGGCTCTGGGTCTGTAATTACATCTCCTACCTGTTCCAGAGCTTTTGCTCAGTCTTTGCCATCCTTTGTAATCCCAGCAGCAGGCTCCCAGATGGGATCCCCATGGCACAACCTGCTTGCTGTCGGGCACCTTGTTTTGCCCAGGGCAGAAAGTGCAAGCAAAAGCTTGAATGGCCCTTGCTGACGCATGAGCCATGCACGATCCATCCCGCTCCCCTCAGCCGGGTACTGAGCACTGCGTGCTGTTGCCCACGGGCAGACTGAGCATGCAGAAAACGTGCTCCGGCAGCAGCTTGGCCCGGGTAACTGCCCGTGGTGCAGCCCCCAGCCCGCTTGCAGCAGGAGAGAGGGGGTGCTGGGGGAGCTCCTGGTTTTGGGCCTGTGGGTCACCATTGGGTTGATTGTGAGCGGGATGCTGCCAAGCATCCTGGTGGACGTGTGGCCGGCGTGTGAGGAACAGCGGGCACCAAGGATCCTTGCCGTGGCTGTGCCTGGGGTCGCTCACGTGCCGCAGCCAGCACTTGTGGATGTTGGGGGTCTCCTCCGAGCCTCAGCGTCATTCTCCCAGGACGAGTGCTGGCAGAGAAGTTACCTCGAGGCCTGCTTTGGGACCGCTGCTGTGCCTCCGGGAGCCCGGTGCTGCCCCCCTGCCG